CCCACCCTACGGAGGAACAAGGGAAAGAGCAATCAGGCGCCCACCTGGAAAACAAGGGAATACTTTTCAAGTTTTAGCAATCAGGCGCCCACCTGGAGAACAAGGGAATACTTTTCAAGTTTTAGCAATCAGGCGCCCACCTGGAGAACAAGGGAATACATTTCAAGTTTTAACAATCAGGCGCCCACCTGAAGAACAAGGGAATACATCTCAAGTTTTAGCAGTCAGGCGCCCACCTGAAGAACAAGGGAATACATTTCAAGTTCCGCAATCAGGAGCCCGCCTGAAGAATAGAGGCACATATTGCAAATTGCAGCAGTCAAACATCACCCAGAGGAATGGTGAAACATCTACAATCACAATGCAAGGCAACAACGCAAGAATTCCAGTAGAAAGATACAAGTTCAAAGCAACACAAAGAGCAAGTTAGAAGGCATAGATAGGACCTTTTGTAACTCATAGCTTAGACTAGCTTCTTTTTGTTTTGACACGGTGTAATAAGGAGGTCAGCGAGCAGTAGCAGCAACAACAGCAGTGAAATCACAGCTCCTAGTAGTCCCAGCTACCAAACCTTCCCGAACTACACTGACCTGATTCCTGTTTAGCCCAGGATATGTAGGCAACCTCTGAAGCAGGGTGCGGTCAAGGTCTTTCAAAAATGCTTCACACAGAGTATTCAAACGGGCAAAAATCGCTCGTATCCGCTCACTCTATCTTTGCGCGAAAACTCTTCGTGTTTCCGAGCAAAGAGGGGCAGCTGTGAGCACGTGATTTTTGCCCTATATGAATTATTCCCAGAAATTCAAACAAAGTGATTTCTTTCATTATTTTGCAGTTTTGTAGATTTTTGCAGCATTTTGTCGGTTATTTGCATTTGTCTGTGCACGTTTATTTTATTTAATTCATGAAAAATACAAAAGAATATGTTGCATTGGCATTTAGGATTTAATTTGGCATTTTGGAATTAGTTAGTAATTTAGTTGTGTTACAAAAATAGAAAATCACAAAAAGTAACTCATTTTGCATTTAGCTTCGAATCATGCAGTTTTCTTTTAATTTGGTAGTAATTAGTTGGTGTAAATTTTATTTTGAGCATTAATCTTATTTGGTAGGGTTTTTAGTTTAATTTTGAAAAAAAAGAAAAGAAAAAGAAAAGGAAAAAGAATTTTGGTAATTTGTCTTGAAAATGGAAATGAAATTGGGCCAGTCTCGTTTAAATTGATCAGGCCCGGGTCGCTTCACTTTTTTTTTCAAATGCCAGGCCAGCCTAATCCACACCCCAACCCGGTCCAAACGACGTCGTTTGGGCAACGTTCAATCAGGACCGTCGAGGTTTCTTGATCGGACGGTCCTGAAGCCCACATCGTTTAATATTTAAATGTCCAA